AGATTTAGAGAAGTGCAGATTACACTGGTGCTTCCCAAGCTATCGTTCTGGGAAGAGAAAGAATAAAGGAAGTACAGATGGTGTAACAAGGATAATGATCTCTGCTCTTACCCAGACTTCATTGATATCAACCAGTAATCCCCAGTGCAAGGCTTTATATGGAAACTGCTTTGGGCATAGGGTTTAGGACTGGATGCCTAAATACTACCCAGAAAGAGAAGGATGCAACGGGAACCACAAGCCCACCTATCTAACCATATATATGGAGTGGAAGTGATGGATGAGGCTGGCTCCTCTGCCTCAAAGGACCAAGCCCTGCCAGAGTCTGAGGCAGGAGGGAGACAACTGAGTGCCATGAATAAGTACTGAGCAGAATAACTCCACCCATAAGTAAAATAAGGCCAAGTAGATGTCCTGGCCTTTATCAATCTGGTTATCAAAGACCTTTTCCACAAGGGGATGTTGAAAAGGGGACATACAGAGGTGGGGGCAAGGATGGGAAAATCCTCTTGCTTCCATTAAAGTCTGAAGCATTCCCCAGCTCCAGTTGCCACCACATGACATTCTCCACCCTTGCAGATGGCAGCCACCCAGCTTACTCACTGAAATATTATTGTGTCACTTTCACTGAGCATTTTAGGGCTTTGAGCTACCTGCACTCGGGTTTCAGACACAGGTCAAGATCACCCACAGACAAAGCCCTATTTCCATCCAAACTGGCATCAGGCTTGCCTCTTACCTCTGCCTAGATACTAGTCAGTACCTATGGGGAGTTCACATCTTCTCTGATGTCTATGGGTGGTGTATGTCTTATCCCACCCTCCCTTCCAGACTTATAACTCAAACATAGTTTCCATGCTGGATCTTTTAGATTTAGACATCTCCTCCTCCATGAAGTTCCACTTGATAGTATGTCTTTAAATAGAACAATTTTAAGAAATCTACTCATGGAGAAAATATGGTGTGATTTTGAGATATTTTACTATGATACTGTAGTTTTATGTGATTTGTAACATCTAAGTCTTTATTATTACTATTATTTAGTTTAGCTTTTGAGGAAATGATAATCTTCACAGGTAAAAGAATTTTCACAATGGAGTGTTCTATTATGTGATTTGGTATTCATAGAGACTGTCTTTTGTAATTGATTTTATCTTTTTTTATCACAAAAGAATGTCTTCAACTTATTTGAAGACAAAACTCAAAACAAAATGACAACAATAATTGGAGTAGTTTAAAAAAAAAAAGTCTGGAGATGTCCCCTAATTTCTAGAAAATGTTAGAATTTAGTATGCAGAATTCCAGATTGCCAAGAAAGCATCTAGCCTTCAAAGACTAAAATAAAAATCTAGAGACCAAGGAGCCAAATTTTGCTGATATTTGTTGTTTTTGTGGTTGCTGTGGGTGCTTGCCTTTCTTTAACTTGACCACAATCCAAAGCACTCTGCAGTTTCCCTGTTAAAATAAATATTAAAATAAGATTACTCACAGAGGTGGGTCAATGGCCAACTCACAGAGTAAAGTTCAAGTATAATAAATAGCCTTTACATATTCTTCTGGCTTGCTCACAATTGCATTCTATACCAATAGAAAGTCATCAGGAAGAACAATATTTGGGTGGTTAGGAACAATTGGCCCTGTATTGAATGATCTTAACACTCCATACAGATAGCTGGATTAAGGTATGACTTGGAGGTCATGAAATCAGGAGGAATTCATTCATTCAATGTTACTAGATCTAGCTATATGTTTGCTAACTCTGCATATACTATGGGAGTGCATGTATATATCCCTCGGGTCCAGGCACAGAACCCCTAAAACCCTTGAAATCTCCTAAGTGATGAAAAGCACTAGGAACATCTTTTGTTCTAATACTTAGTTTTTGACCCTGGTTCCTAACACAGCAGTTCTAAATCCCTTGGAATTTTCTCCTGGGTGATAGCAGTGTCTTTTGTTCTAGTGAGGTGACTCTTGGTAGACTTCCAGCTGGTGGCTGGTCACTAGAAAGGCCAAGTCATGATCAGAAGCTTGGATCTTTCAGCTCCACCCTTCATTCTTCAGAGAGGGAATAGGGGCTGGAAATGGACTTAATGAACAATCATGCCTATGTGTTGAAGCCTCTGTAAAAATCCCTGAAGTACAGGATTCAGAGAGCTTCCAGACTGGCCAACAGCAAACAAGGAACAAAATCCTGCCAACAACTACAAGAATGAACTTGAAAGTGATTCCTCCCCTAGTGGAGCCTTGAAAAGAATACAGTCCTGGCTGACACGTTGACTGCAGCTTTGTGAAGGCCCCGAAGCAGCTGGCCACACCCTGATCCACAATTCCAGATAATACGTGTTATTACAAGCCATTAAATTTTGGAGTAATCTATTATATAGCAACAGATGACTAACACAATTGGAAGCAAAGCAAAGGAAACTGAAACAGAAGGAACAGTACTTTCAAAGATGAGAGAGCATAATACTATTACGTTCTGGAATGGCAAGTGATCTTGGGCAGTTATATCATGGAGCATCCTTGCAGGAATGACTGGAGATAAGATTTGAGATAAGGATTGGAGGCCAAGTTGTAAAATGTGTTCAACAATCATTTGTATCAGTCAGGGTTCCCTCGCAGCAAACAGAAACCTCTCCAATTATTTTAAACAGAAAAAACTTAGCATGGGGAATTAGGTACTTACAACATTGTTGAAAGGGCTTGGAACCTAAGTCTGAAAGCTACTAGGACTGTAATTGCCTCTCACAACCCATGAAGCTAGGCTAGCTGCTGGAGCCGTGCTGCAGAGAAGCCCAGCATCTCCGTCATCATGCCTGCCTGCAGTAATAGCTGAAGCAGGGTACAGCTGGTCACGCCTCCCTTCCACTTCTCCCTCCTCTGGCCGGGTATTAATTGGCAGAACCTAATTTGTATCCAGAAGCCTAGCTGTAGGGAATCTGGGAAAAGTAGTGTTAGTCTTCCTTCCTCTATTGTTTAGAAAGACACACATTTGAAATAGGTGCTGAATCATATCACACCACATCTGCTCAGGAGAGAAGTGTGTTGGCATTTGCTTCTGGAAGAAGTGGGAACCCTCAAGGGGCCGAAGAATGACATAATAATCTGTATAATCTGTATTGGAGAAAATTCACTTTGGTCAGATAAAAGAATAGCCTGTAGACGTGGCAGAGAGGCTGTTGGGACTACAAACAGGGAGAGGAGTGGCACAGGTGAAATGTGATGAGAGTCGGAACTCAGTCCTGGGAAACAGCAGGAAGAGGCCAGAGACTGTAAGACAAAGTCCTAAATAGAGTCCATTCCAACTCGGTTCATATCTAGTGCCATCATTCAAGACCTATGTCCCTTAATTCATGCACCCTGGAAGATATTGTGCTGGGGGCTGTATTTTCTTATTGTATTATCCAGTTTAACTGTTCTTTATCCTTTGTCAAGCTTAGATCTTTGTGGTTCAGGCTTGGAGTGATGCTGAAGTGAAAAACAGTACAGCAACCAAAATTAACTTCAAAATAGTCATTTTCTTGCATTTCTCAAAAACCATGAAAGCTATTTAAGTACATATGTTAGCAGATAGAGAGAGACCACCCCCTCTCCCCCAGCTGGAAAGCCAACCAAACACACGGGTCCTTGCCCGGCAGTTGAGAAAGAATTCTCAGCAGAGGCAGAGGGACAAAGTGAAAGGCTGCTTTATTGCTCAAAAGAAGAAAGGGCGGGGAAAATAGTGGTCGAGCGGTGGGGGGTTGAGGGAGAGGAAGGTAGAGACAGCTCCACGTCCCAGTCCGGCCACAGGGCCTTTTATTGGGAGGGCCTCCTTCCCTTTCCTTCCCTTCCCTTCCCTTCCCTTTCCTTTCCTTTCCTTTTCCTTCCTTCCTTCCTTCCTTCCTTCATTTCCTTTCTTCCATAATGATGAAAGTTACACACTTTCATCAGTGTGTTTGTAATTGACACCTGGGCTGTCTAGCAATTGTATTTGGCTAGGCAGAGTTTTCCTTTTTCCTTATTCCTCCTCCTAAGTAGGGCATATACCTTTCTACATTAAGAGAAGATGGTAGTATCCATTTGCATGGGAGATGCTCACAGATGGGAGACCTAGTATGGAAGACCTGAGTGTTTTCCAGCTAACACACACAGAAGGAAGACCACCACTTACACTCCCCTCTCTTTCTTCTTTACTCCCTGAGAACTGGTTGAGGCTGATAAAGCTTAAGAATTGACAAACCAGAGTTTTAATCTCATAGACTCAGGGCCAGGCAGGTTGTAAATGAATGAAATAGGCTAGGTATGGGAAAAGGGGCAGGGGGGCAATAGTACTATAGGATCCATAGAAATGGCACCTTTACTTTGGTATGAGGGTACAATAGCGAGTGGTGAGGACTGTGGTCAAGTGGAGAGATCATCGCCTATTTAAAGCAGACAGCCACCTCTCAGCATCAGAAAATTATGGCCATGAGGGAATATGGGTTCTCTATCTTCAGATCTTGCCATTTTTCAAGGGAACAGAAATATAAATATGTGAAATCTCTTGATGTTTAATTCTTGGCAATTAAAACAAATGTTAAGACAATACTCTGTGGGCCAACCATAAGAGACTATGCCAACAGGGTACAGCTTCTGAGCTGAAAGGACCATAGAACTGTGGGATTACTGGTGAGGGGAAGAAGATATTAGCAGTCTGACAGGGAAGGACTAGAGAGAGGGAGAGGGAAAGCTAGGGAAAAAGGCCAAATGAGCCAACCTGAATCTCCGGTTCTCTGTGAGCTCTGAAACAGATTGGAATGTAGGACCTGAATCCTAGGTAAAGAACTGAATTATGTGTGTATACTTGACCTCCTTAAAATAAGACCATCTGAAGCAAGAGAGCCCCACATGGTGATGTCTGTACTATTGGGTTTACGGATGTATTGCAACAACCAGAGTTGCCTCTCACTTTTGCAAACAGTGGATTACTTCAATTTTGCATGAACGGTATAACGCACCTATGTAAATAAGAGGGCAAAGAAATTTTCTAAATGCTTTTATTTTTTCGGCACAAATATTTTTGCCCCTTTCAGGCCCCTTTGCTTGGAGAAAGGAGAGTTAGTGATGTACTTGGTAATGACATTTTGAAAAATGTGCTTTGGTCTATAGAGGCAATGATGTACTTTTTAGGTATGTTGAAAATAAATTAAGGCTATAGTGGTTGCCATGTTAATGAGAAAATAATGAGGTTAGTCTCAGCAAAAAAAAAAAAGGTTTTGGAAGTGGATAAGTTGCAGATATTAATACTGAAAAAACTTATCTTCATACATTCTACCATATGCAATTTTTGATGAATAATCATCAATTCCAGAACGTAATAACTTGCACGGTCCTGCCATGGAGTAGGCATTCAGCAAATGTTTATTAAATTTTACTGCTTCTTAACACAGTAATTTTATTCAGTAATGATTTCTGTAACTCAGATAAAAATAGAAATTTGTAAGAGATTTTGGGGGGGGCATTTCTTGTAAAAGTATATTCTTCTAGAGAAAATAGCAGTGGGGGAGAGAGAAAAGTATGTATGTGTAGGTTCTATAAAGTGATTCCAACTCAAATTATTCAAAGATGAATACTTTGGCCCTGTCTGTAGTTACAGTCCCTACTGACAAGATGCTGTCGATAGCCTCAGCCTCATTCTTTTTCTCTGCTTATTTTGGCTTTGCAGAGATTGGGGCTCAAGTCATGAGAATCTGCCTGGCCTTCAGTTGCTAAACTTCTCCTTCCTTCTTTTGCTCTTGCCTCAGAAGGACCTGCCAGGTGGTGTTTCCTTTCCAGAGCTGAAGAAAGGATCTGAGCTGTAGAATCAATCAACAGACAAAGCCTTGATCCAATGGTTTCCTAGCTCTCAACTCACCGGTTCTCAGCCAGCCTGAAGTCCTCTTGACAAACATGTTCTGATTAGCTCTTTTAGGTCCTGCTGCTTTGCACAAGCTCCTTTCTCCCACCAGAATATTATTAGGACATAACCAGGCTAGAGAGGCTGTGGGAAGCTTTGGAGGTAGGAGGATAGGGTCCAGAAAGGACTGCAATAAGAAAAAGGGATTTCCCTTTGGTGAGCTCCAGAGTCCAAAGGTAGCCTGGAGCTGACTTCAATTAGCCACCAAGGGTGGACTTTCTAGTTTGGTTCTTTGGCCCTTTTAGGCTCCCGCCCTGGGGCCAGGACATGTATCAGGAAGGAAATCAGCCTCAGGTATGTCTTCTCATTTCTTTCTCACCTAAACTTCAGCTTCCAGGTATCGCACTGTGGTTTTGGGTGGACTCTTCGGCTCTTCCAGCTTTTTATCGATTTTTGTTGATTCAGCATTCAGATTGCCATCATCAGCCTTCTCCTCCTCCACTGCTTTTGTTTCAATCATTTCCTTCTGCTGATTCTTGTTTGTAAAGGGGAAGGCCTTCACATACCTGTAGGCATAAACATGCAAGTAAAGTGAGAGACTTCTATGTAACTCTATGTAACCCATGGACTAGTAGATTAACACTTAGTCTGTGATGGCCCACAGTGACGGAGTATGCTGGGAACCTTTATTTCAGAGAGATGCTAACCCAGGCATGCTCAAATGCCTTAACACAGCCTCACAGGAATGGATTCATTTATATGGGACCGTAAGTTTGCAGGCCAAACTTTAGGCTGACCTCACAACCCTCTCATCAAAAACAAAGAACTGAAAATCAAATAAAGCATATATGTTTTCCCCTAGATGTCAATCTTTTCTTCTTACTTCTTAATATTCAAAGGGACAGCCATTGACCTACATCTAAAGGCTGGATAACATACATGCGCTGAAATAGTAGGAAAGATTGGGTGATAGGGAGGACAGGTGAGGGGAGGGAGAAAATCTACAGTATAAGAGGACTGCCAGCTCCATTTTGACGGAGGGGATGCTAAGAACAACCTTGGCTAAATGCAAGATACGGATATGACAAAGATGACAAGACTCACAGTGTACCAACAACCCTACCTTCTGATGTAGCAAACTGCTAGGCCAGCGGCAGCAGCAAAGAAGAGGAGGGCGAGTACCAGCAGGGTCGTGGGAACACCTGGGGGAGACAGAGACAGGGCCTGTTGGTCCCTCACTTAGACACGGTTGTGCACTGCTCTCCTAACACATCATCCTTCCGCAGGATGGAGACTGCAGACAGTGAAGGAAAAGAGTCTACTCTGGGGCCACACAGGGGCCTCTTAGGGTGTTGGGCGCACATGAGCTTCTTTGCTTCTTGCCTGTAGAATCCTTGACCTTGTTTGCCTCTCACTCTCTCTGTTTTAGAAATTGCAACACAACAGAATCCATTTCCTCTTTGTGGCTTTGAGATAAGTTTTGAGCTCATTAAGACTCCTCCTTTAAATAGGAAAACAAACCTACTGATCATAGGCACTTAAGATTCTATTTTTTAAAAACTTCTATATATTAATAGATAGTAGTTTACTTGTAAGAGTCTTTGCATTTTAAAGAGTGAAGCTTTTTTTTTTACACTCATGATTTTTAATCATTAAGATTCTTTAGAGACCTCAAGTCCTATGATTTATGAAGGTTGAGTTTACATTAAGCTTTTATTTGTACTTGGCAGGTCCTGAGTGCCCAATCTGGATATAGGCTAATTTTGCCTGTTATACATAAATACACCACACACACACACACACACACACACAAACACATACACACACACACAAACACATACACATAATGCAGACAGAAAGTTTTACCTCCAAACCCGAGAGCTTCATTCTTGAACGCTACTCTATTTTCAATATATAATTCAGTTTTTGTAGACATGCTGCTAGTTTCCATAAAAGCTTCTGTTATGCAAATTAAATTTCTTTTCCGTGGAGTAGAAGTGGAAGCCAGAGCAGGAACAGGAGACACAGTCTGTGTAACAGAGTAAGGTCCCTCAGCAGAGGATGCTGAGTATGTGCTGTCTCTGACAGTCATTTCTGTTGTGTGTGTTGCCATTTCAGTGCTGAATATGGGATCATTGGTGGTGATAACCTCTGGTTGGCATGAGTTAATCCAAATATCTGTCAGGGGAGGGAAATAATGAAATAGCAAGTAAGTATTGCAACAGCCTCATAACTGGTCTTCCTCTCCTCCAGCCCCCTTGTACTGCAGCTGGAATGGTCTTACAAAAATGCAAATCTAGCCATATTATTCCTTTAGAATCTTTCTCAGTGACTGCCTCTACTGCATGGCCTATAAGGCCCTCCATGATCTGGCCTCTGCTGACATGGCCAGCCTCACCTGATAAGTCTTTCCCTCGTTCCTCTGGCCATACTGAAACTCCCCTTCAGTTCTCTGATGTGCTTTCTCTCACACCCAAGCCTTTGATCATGATGTTTTCTTCACCTGTGAGACTCTTTGCCTTCTCTTTATTTAGCTCTTACATGTCCTTCGGGGCTCAGACTGAGCATCTCTGTCCTAAGCAGACTTGATAACTAGACTGGGTCCCTAGACAAGTGTTCTTGCCCCTCCTTGTTCTTTCCTTGTCATGATTCGTTATACTGCTCCCCACTGGACTGGGAGCTACTTGGAGGCAGGATCCCTGTCTATTTTGGTCATCAAAGTATGTGCACTGGCCCTGGCACATAGTACATACTCAAAAAATATCTGATGAATGAAGGAGGGAAGGAAAAGTGAAGTGAAGACAAGAGTATATGGGGAGACCAAATACACACACATGATGTCACTTCAGGACAAGGATCTACTAAAACCAGCTTTCTCTGTGCTCATCAAACGTTTGTTTAAAAAAGGAGGTAGGGGACCGGGGATGGATGTAGGTTTGCTATCGAATCTGTTGAATGTGGTTGAGAGGAAACTGACATTTGCTGAACCTGTGGCTCTGAGTCAACCATGGCACTCCATTCAACAGTTTTATAAAACCCTCATTCATAGAGGAGGAAGCTGAAATTCAGAGAAATTGAATAACTTGCCCAAAGTCACACAGCTAGTAAATGGCAGAGCCATGCAATATATTGCAATATGAATTTGCATCTATTTTAAATCTCTACAAATATTGGGGCAGTGGGTAGCACCAAGTGGAATGTAGCTATGAAGAAAAATGAATTCTATTCATTTTTGAAAGTTAAGTAAAAATTAGCATTCAATGCCATGGTAAACATGAAAAAACATTTTGACCACCTAGGCATTCAGTCAATATTTCACACTATTCATTTTACTTTGAAAAGACCTCTGTTCAAATAGACATCATCCTTGACCTCTGACCTGAACTTTTAGTTACATTTGCCATCCTCGAGCATGTGCTAAAAACTCGAGCATGCTTCCAAAAAATTGAACAGTTATTTTTTCTTAGTATTGGGGGAAAAACATTCTGAACACAATATATTGTGCTGGGATAGAAAACAAACTTAGGGTTACCAAGGGACAGAGCAAGGTATCAACTGTGACCACAGCAAAGCACACCCTAAGCATCAGTTACTTCCCTTGAAAAGTAGAAATGATACACTTGTATCGCTTTACTGAGGATTAATGAGCGAGTCCACACACAGGGCCTAGCATCCAAGTACAACATGCACAGTACAATGCATGGTACAACATGTAAGATCCGAAGAACGAGTTTCCTTTGCCTCTCTGTTCTTTAAGTGTAGCCAAGAAAGCCACAATGTGAGGGAGCAATAGCAATCTGGTCCTGTGGTCCCTAACTGATTGGGGCACAACGCGTCTCACCTGGAAGTGTTAGGACCTGGCTCTCCTTCCCTTCCAAACTATAATTTCTCTGGAATGTGCCAAGTGCTCTGATAGATACAGCACAGTGTGGCAGATACAGCACAGTGTGGCTGGAGCCCAAGAGGAACTCTGGGAGCAAGGAGTATGCCAAAGAAGATGGCACTTGAGACTTGAATAAAGGATACAAGGTACCAGGTGATGAAGAAGAGGGCATTGTGGCAGTGAGAACAGCATGAAACAGGTGGGACACACAGAACGTTAAAAGCACTTTGGTCTGATCCCCAAAGCTCACAAAGATAGCAATAAGACAATTAGGATAAGGTCTAAGGTTACTCTGATCCCCAGAGCTCACCAGACAGCAATAAAAAGGAAAGTCACAAAAACAAAGAGACACTGGTAAGTTCAGGACGAGTGTCAGGCTGAGGGTTAGGGTAACTCTGATCCTCATAGATGGCAAACAGGAGCAGGTGAGCCTAATTATTTCAAAATGATAACATAACCACACAGGGTAACAAATATCAAGTTGTCACCAGAGAGTAGGTTCTTGTCGCAGAAAGAATTGAGAGAGAGGTCAAAAAGTAAAGTGAGGATTTATTAAGAGATGGGACTCTCTCAAGGGGTGAGTGTGCAGGCAAGGGTGAGCAGCTGTGCTGTTTCTTTGGGAAGCTGGTTACATAGGGTGTAAAAATAAGTGGGCAAAATATTCATTGGGGAGGGAGGGGCTTGGGGTTGTATTTCCTGACTTTCATCCCAACTCCCCCTTCCCAAGGGGAGGAGGGATTTTTGCCCTTATTTAGTCTGGATCAGAAGTGTCATGGCGTTGGTGCATGATGGCTACTTCTAATCTGCAAGGGTAATTTTATTCAAATGAGGGCATAATGAGCAAAAGGTTGCATTTGGATGCTGAAGATTCCTGCCTTTCCCATTTTCGTTGTCTGCCTCCAGGACCCTTGTCACCCCAAAATGTGTGGTTTCCTGTCAGTCTAGAGGTTCCTGTTTTCCTCTGCCCAAAGTCCCCTGCTGCTCACAAGATGTATGGTTTCCTGCCATTTGGCCTGTGCCCCCCTTTCTCTGCTCATATCTAGCTCTCTGCCTGCTCTAACAAAGTCACTTTTGAACAGAATTCTCTGACAGTACATCCTTAGAGGGGTATCTGCTAAGGACTAAAAGAAATGCAAAGGAATCTCAGATTCCACTCAGTAGGTTTGTTATTCCCAATAATGTTGTTTTTATAATTTTGAAACTATTGTAGGATAAGAAAATATATTCTTTACTGGGAACAAGGATTTTCCATGTAAGAGGGAAAAAAGATGCAAGTAAAAACACAGTAAACAAAGAAAAACTTGAATTGTTAAGTCTGAATTGGAAATATCAATACAAATGCATAATTTAAAAAATATATATATTCCCTAGCTGCCCACTGAAAAGGATTGAGAAGCAATAAAAATGTGAATAGTAATGAGAATAACTTGCATGTAGTCTTGGTCTCTAAATGACATTCTCCATTCAAAGGACACACAGCCCCTTGGAGAAATAAATGGCTGATTCCATGTCTGGGACAGAGAAAGTACAAAGTGAGCCTGGGACATGCTATTATGCGAGAAGGCAATGACTTGCTCAAAGACTAATGCGGGAAAGGACACAAAAGTCAACTAGAAGGGGCTCCACTCTTCAAATTTGGGACAATTTGAGTATCAAAAAGAAGAAAAGAATAATAATTGTAAAACTGACAATAACTATTGAACACACAAAGCAGAATGTCATGTGACCATGGCAGTGTGATGGGGAGGGAGGTGTGTGTGTGTGTGAGGGAGGAAAGGAGGGAGGGAGGAAGGGAGGAAGAGGAGAGAGAGAGAGAGGAGGAGGGAGAGAGAGAGAGAGATTCTTCTTTA